CAACCTCGGTTCGAATCCGAGTCACGGCAGTGGCGATCGCTCGGCCGGTGCGTGCCTTCCTTTTGCTTCCCGGGAAAGGTAAACCCGGCGCCCGCACCGCCCGCGCTCGGCGGAAGGCACGCGCGCCCTGCGCGCGCTCCGGACCGGGTCTGACCCTTTGCCAGTAAGACACCCCGAGCACCCTCAGTTACGGGGTCGTCCGCACTGCCATCCAACGTGGGCGGCGCCCTCTGCCCTTGCCTTTGCCATAGCCTTAGCTGGGAGGAGCCACTCTCCCGGGCCTTCCCACGCTTACCCAGGCTCTTCCAGAACGGCCTTCGTGTGCCGCCGCGGCTGCACACGCTCTTCTGCGTGCCGCGGGCTCCCCACGGCGCCTCGGGCTTCCTCCAAACGAACTCTCCCACCCAAACCGTCAGTCTGTGGAGGCTGGGAAGCTGCTGCAGATCAGCGTCCACACAGTCGACCCACGAGGAAACCCGAATTCCTAACTGGCGGGTCCCCGCCGGGGAAACTCCCGGCGTCGGGGAGAACGCACAGCCTCGTGGCCTGCGCACACGCGGGATGCCGTCGCCGTCCACCGGATGGAAAGGCCGCAGGGACCGCAGGTTGTAGGGGGAGGTCGGAGAGCAGTTCGGGCCCCCGGCCACCCCCGGCCTTGACTGAAAGACTGCCGGGTCCAGGCGGCCGCGGTTCCTTTATGACGCACGGGGTGCCGGCGTCCCGGCGCTCAGCCCCCTTCTGGGCCTGGGCGCACCTCCGCCCCTTGCCGCATCCCCTCCAGCCCGTTTCCGCAATGCTCCGCCACGGTCCCTGCTCTGCCCACCGCCCCTCCACACGCCGCCGCCTCGCGAAGGCGCTCCTCCGGTCGGGTCGGGTCTGAGCGGCGGGCGGGCGGACGGACGGACGGACGGGGTGGCTCGTTCCCAGACCTGCGGGGGCGTGCTGGCACTCGCGGAGCGATGCCTGTGTCGCCCGCGGCGCCTCCGTTAGGAGAAAGCAGCCAGGAGACGGCGTTATCAGACGGCTCCCAGAGCGACCGGCCGCCCTCGCAAAGCCCAAGTGTTCCCCGGGTTCAGTGAAAGCGTCTCTGCAGACGGAGGAACCGAGAAAAGGAGGCGAGCGTCAGCTCCCTGGTGGTCTAGTGGCTAGGATTCGGCGCTTTCACCGCCGCGGCCCGGGTTCGATTCCCGGTCAGGGAAACCTTTTGCACGCCCTCTCCTCAAGCAGGAAGATTCCTTTCTTCACGTACTCCGTGGGCAGGATGCACACGCGCCCCCACGCCGTCTACCAAACTACAGCGAAGGTGGGGCGTAGTGGCTCCTTAGGTCTCCCAGGCTTTACAGAGCTATCCAGTATAATGCTTCTTCTAGGTATTAGTCCAATCAGTTCATGCTCAAGATTAACCATCACAGGTTTCTTCAAAGAAATGGAAAGTAACTGTTCAAATCTGGATTCAATAACTATACAGTTTCTTTAAGTGTCCTCCTGGAACACCAGCTGGGACCAGTTCTCAATCTAGGCTACTAATGTTCACTGGAATCTAGAACCTAAAACCACACCCATGAAAAAGGCTTCTGTGATCTTCTGGCATTGTAATACTTGATCACTAAAATTCCCCTAGATGAAATCAAGAATAGTTCCTAGACGGAACTATCCAGTGAGACCTAGAGAACTGAACTGGTGAAATTCAGAAATCAGAACCCCAGCCTATAACAATGCAAAGGCTTTGGGGTTAGCTCTGATGGCAATACTTTCATCAAAAGATGTCAAATGTTTTAACATCACAACTCTACTTCTTAGTGAGTCAGGTTTAAACGACAGCACAGCCCTGAACTGGAGATCGGGGTAGCTCTGTAAAGCCTCGGAGACCTGAGGAGCAGGAAGGAGACAAGGCCTGAGATGGAGAAGAGCTAGAGCTCTGAGAAGGGGCCCAGCGATACTGCGCCCCACCTTCGCTGTAGTTTGGTAGACGGCGTGGGGGCGCGTGTGCATCCTGCCCACGGAGTACGTGAAGAAAGGAATCTTCCTGCTTGAGGAGAGGGCGTGCAAAAGGTTTCCCTGACCGGGAATCGAACCCGGGCCGCGGCGGTGAAAGCGCCGAATCCTAGCCACTAGACCACCAGGGAGCCCTATCGTGTCGCCACTAGACCACCAGGGAGCTGACGCTCGCCTCCTTTTCTCGGTTCCTCCGTCTGCAGAGACGCTTTCACTGAACCCGGGGAACACTTGGGCTTTGCGAGGGCGGCCGGTCGCTCTGGGAGCCGTCTGATAACGCCGTCTCCTGGCTGCTTTCTCCTAACGGAGGCGCCGCGGGCGACACAGGCATCGCTCCGCGAGTGCCAGCACGC